TGTTTGAACTCTTGGTAGACAAAGGTCTTCTGACTTCTTTAAGTTCTCAAAATGGACGTGTAAGGTCATTCATCATCAGAATTGAGGAATGAGCTTAAACAGCCAACTTCGCCTCCTGCTAATTTCCTTCTTATTTATCGTTCATTTTGGCTTCTGAGGAAGTTCTTTACCTTTTTGCCAGCTCAAAGATATATTTAATAAGTTGAACCTTTGTTTAAGATACTTCAAGAAATTGAAATTTTAGGTAGTCCAGGAACAGAAAAGCTATTTGGTCTTCAATGACCACTGTTTCAGAACTTTTATCATTCTTTATGTTTATATAGGACTTAGCCTTCAGGCTCAACTCAAATCATACCTTGCCTTGATTACATTATTCAACGTGAATATCTTCTCTCAGAAATATTATACCACCATTTGATCCTATTGACCAGTAGCAATTGGCTGTTATTCCTACCCTCCATCCATTTTATTAAAAACTCCTTTCCATTAAATAATGATCTCGATTTCTAAATAAACAGTTTGATTATAAAATACACTCATAGTAGCAATCCATGCATCGGTGTCATTAATAGTTGTTACTTTATGCTTCATAATAAGTAACTTTAGTACTTCCCTTTCTGGCATGTGGTGTAATCCAGGATAGACTGATTCTGAATCCACAGACATTAAACTCAGCTGCTGATATTGTCTGACCTACACTTGCACACACCTCTAACTATAACTATATAGTCCGTTCACATTCTCATTCTATTCACTTGAAAATTAGCTTAAAAAATCTTAGGGTGAAAAAGTCTTTTAAATATTTTATAAAAGAAATATATACTTTTATAAGGAATATTCATTCCTTACTTACTGCCATGGTTAGATTTCAAAGACCAGACTGGTTTCATGCAAAAGTAAGCATTATATGAAAATGGAGGGTAACTACGTCTTTATATGACTTTCAGCATTTGATGACTTCATCTTAATTAACCGAATAACTGATTTATTTCATCAGTTATGTAGTAAGTTCCACACCACTGAAATGATGGTCAAGCCAAGTTGGCATATAACCTTAACTATCACAGCCAGTGTTACTGTCATCTAGAACCTTGATGTTCATTACTGCCAGATATAACCATATCTTTAGTGATAGAGTAAAAGTAATATATTATGTTCATTAAAATTGAGAAACAAAACTTTTAACCTGAGAATATTTTTGTGAAATTTTCCATTCTGCTTTTCATGCAAACTATGATGCTGCTATTTTTAAAAAATCATTATTACTAAATGCTTACTGTGTCAGCCATAATTTTTTTTAAAATTTCAGTAGAAGTAATCATAGTAATTTATAAATTCAAGCAGTACAAGGAAGCAAAATGAATTTTATATCTTATTCCCATCACTAGGACCTTTCCTTCTCAGAAACCTGAGAGAGAGAGAGAGTGTGTGTGTGTGTGTGTGTGTGTGTGTGTGTGTGTATTTTTACACATTAGAACCTTGTTCTATATGTTCTTACTTTTTTTTTCATTTAGTAATTTGTCCTACTTACCTTTTCATAACAGTGCAAACAGAGTTGTCAAATTTTATTTCTCGGTTATCAGTATTCTGTGGTTTCCTCTGGTGGCTTAGTGGTAAGGAATTGCACTGTCAACCCATAGGTACACAGTTTGAATCCTCCAGCTGCTCCACGGGAGAGGGATGGGTTATCTCCTTCAATGCAATTAAATGCCTCTGAAAACTCACTTGCCAGTACACAATGGAAGTCCTTGATAGATAAAGCTGTTAATTTTAATGGTTCCGCACAGTTGTGTGTCTGTGAAATTAATTTTTTTTTTATCTTCATCTTGAAAAAATTTCTGGACTTTAATTATAAATTCCACATTTGTTTATATAATTCTCAATGTTTGCAAATTACATGTTTTTCATATGATTCTAAAGAAAAGGCGATTATCATGTAAATTGTTTTAAACCATCATCCTAGAAACATAATGTTGTTGTTGTTGTTGTTGTGTGCCATCGAGTTACCTGCCACTCATAGCAACCCTATGTACAATAGCTCTGAACTCTACCCTATCAAGAGCCAGTCTCACTGTCTCTGACACACGCATTTCCCCAGTTATTGTGTCAATCCATCTCGTCCAGAGTCTTCCTCTTCTGCACTATCCCTCCACCTTTCCAAGCCTGGGGTCCTCCAAGGACTGGTCCCTCCTGGCAGCATACCCAAAGTATGTGAGACAGAGCTTCAAAATACCTGTGTCTAAGGGGCAATTTGGTTTCACCCACTCCAGGACAGACCTGTTTGTTTTGGCCATCCATGATATGGTCAGTACTTTTCTCCAGCACCATAACTCAAAGGCATCAATTCTTCTGTCACCCTTAGTCGTTGTCTAGCTCTCTGATGCATAGCAAGTAATTGAAAAAATCATGGCCTGGATCAGGTTCACCTTAGTCTCTAGACCAACATCTTTGCTCTTTAGCACTCTGGAGAGGTCCCTGACAGCAGATTTTCCTAATGCAATTACTCTTTTGATTTCCTGGCTGCTGGTGTCAAGAGTGTTGAGTGTGGAACCAAGCAGCCTGAAATTGTTAACAATCTCAATCTCTTCTCCTTCTATCATGGTGCTGCCAATTGGCCCAGTGGAGAGAATCTTTGTCTTCTTGATATTGAGCTTCAGTTCATATTGAAGACTGCAGTTTTTGGTCTTCTGCAGCAAACACTTGAGATCCTCCTCAGTTTCAGCAAACAAGGTGTGTCATCTGCATAATTCAGGCTTTTTATGAGTCTTCCTCCACTCCTGATGCCAAATTCTTCCTCATAAAGTCCAGCCTCCCAAATGATCTGTTACATATACAGACTAAAAAGGTATAGAAATAGGATACATCTGTGATGCACTCCTTTCCTGATTTTTAACTATATAATGTTTTCTTGCTCTTTTCTGATGACTACTTCCTGGTCCAAGTATAGGTTTTACATGAGTCAGGTGTTATGGAATTTCCATTCTTCTCAAGGTTAGCCACAATTTGTTGCAATCTACACAGTCAAATGCCTTTGCATAGTTAATGAAACCAAGATAGACTTTCCTATGGTGTTCTCTGCTTTCAACCAAGATCAATCTGACATTGGTGATAATGTCCCTAGTGCCACAACCTCTTCTAAACACAGCTTGTATTTCTGGCATTTTTCTGGCAGTCTACCGTCCAATCATTTTTGGATAATCTTCAGCAGGATTTTGCTTGCATGTGATATTAATTATATTGTTCAATAATTTCCACACTCTATTGGATCACCTTTTTTTCCCCTTCTTGAATGAGAATAAATATTAATCTCTTCCAGTCAGTTGGCCAGATTATTGTCCTCCAGATTTCTTAGCACAAGTTGGTGAGTAAGTCTGTTGAAATATGTCAGTTGGTATTGGTGTGGCATCTGTTGAAATATGTCAGTTGGTATTCCATCAATTCCTGGGGACTTGTTTCTTGCTAATTCTTTCACACAATGCATATTTCATTGCCTTGAAGCCAGGTTTAGGATAAGACTTTTAAGGGTTTGATTTTTGTTATTTTGGTTTAATTTTGCTTTTATTTGAGTTCACTTGTTTATAAAAATAAAAGCCATTTTTAGGGTTTGCATCTAAGTTAGAAATGCACAAACATACAAAATTGAGAAATACTGAGGTGAAAACAGTTCTGCTGTAGACTATCATTATGTTAAGCCAGTTGCTGTCAGTTTCTAGTCATGGCAGTCCCTATATGTCAGAGAAAAAAAACTGCTCCATAGGGTTTAGTGGTTGATTTTTCTTTAGTTGATTGCCAGATCCTTATTTCAGTACTCCTCTAGGTAAACTTAAACCTCCAACTTTTTCATTGGTAGACAAGTGCATTAACCTTTTACACCACCAGCAACTCCTTTTGAGATTAAGTTGAACCTTATAAGAGTGCTAGTACTCAACAATTTTGACCTACCAAATAAAAGGGAATTTGATTCAGCCTAATAACAATCCTTTAGTATTCTTAGAAGAGCAGTTGAGAAGGAAACATGAACTTAAGCCAAGTCATGTTGTGTACCATTGAGTCAGAACCTAACCATAGCTAATACTCCAGTGGGTTTTCAGAGACAATAATTGCCCAGAAGGAAATTTCCCATCTTTGTCCTACCAAACAGCTGGTGGATTTGAACCTCATGCCTTGGGGTTGGCAGAACAACTCCTTACCACTAATCCACCAAGGTCTATGGTCTTGAAATTAGCAGGGCATGTTTAGAATATTATAAGAAAATCTTACTATGTAAAAGGTGAATATGAGGGTTAATAGAAGATAAGTAGAATAGAAAAGTCTCAATTATTTTGTAACTGAGTATCACTTAAAATTGTGTGTTCTTTTTTTTTCTTTTCTCCTGTTGTTTATCTTTTCAGTATGCATGAGAACTACTTGAACAGTTTGCTAAAACAATTGCCCAGTCCCACCCTCAAAATTTCTGATTCAGTAGACTTAATGGGGTAGACTTTCTAATTCAGTAGCCTAATAATGTAACACATCCCAAGGTAATAGTGATGCTGGTCTGGGAACCAGCCTAGGGAACCATTCCTTTAGGCTGCAGGATTTATTAGTGATTATAAGCATGGAAAGTACTCCAAAGAATTGCTTTAGAAAGTTTTAGCATTGTACAGACTAGTTTGAAAGACAGAGTGATAAGTCAGCATGCCTACTTTTGAACTCCTTATCTAAAGGAATCTGTAAAGTCATCTTAAATATGCCACATAGTTTTATGTATTGCTCTCACTTAGTTCTGTCCACCTAACCTACCTATTTTCTTTAGTACGACCATGTTGAATAGTGAGAACCTAGCCTTTTCAAAAATTTAGTCTTTTCTTTTTCTGCCCTTTTTCTTTCTACTTTCCAAGTTTTGAGGTTATCAGGGCCATAGAATATTTTTAGGTATTTTATTCATGCTCATTATTTGTTTCTGATTTGACAATTTCCTTTCTCCAGTAGGGAATACTCTTGTGTTCTTTTTCTTTCAGAATGGCAGACTAAATCCCAGGAGTGTACCCCAATAAAAGATACGTCTGCACTTAAAGAGGATGTTACTCAGTTCATCAAATTGGAAGAATCATGTGACTATGATGACAGATTAGAGAAGCAGTCAATAGAGGCCTTCAGGACAATTCCCACTAATGAGAGTGATTTCAGCTTAAAGGCATTCCTTTCACAAGATGACCTTAAAGAAGAATATCCTAGTAAATATGATATATCTAGAAATAATTTTGAGAACCATTCAAACATAATTGTAGAGTATGATACCCAGTCAGATAATAAAATGTTTATGTATAATGAAGACATAACAACCTTCAGTCACGTTGCATATGGTATTGTGCATAGGAAATTATATCCTGATGAGAAGCCTTATAAATGTAATGTGTGTGGGAAAATTTTTAGGAAAATCTCATCCCTTGTGAAACACCAAAGTACCCATACCAAAGAGAAATCTTATGAATGTGAAGAGTGTGGAAAAGAGTTTAGACATATCTCATCTCTCATTGCACATCAGAGAATGCATACTGGAGAAAAACCTTATGAATGCCATCAGTGTGGTAAAGCCTTCAGCCAGCGTGCACACCTTACTATCCATCAGAGAATTCATACTGGAGAGAAACCCTATAAGTGTGATGACTGCGGAAAAGACTTTAGTCAGCGTGCACACCTCACTATACATCAAAGGACACATACTGGAGAGAAACCATATAAATGCCTGGAATGTGGGAAGACTTTCAGCCATAGTTCATCACTAATCAATCATCAGAGAGTTCATACTGGAGAAAAACCTTATATATGTAACGAATGTGGGAAAACTTTCAGTCAGAGTACACACCTTCTTCAACATCAAAAAATACATACTGGAAAGAAACCATATAAATGTAATGAATGTTGGAAAGTGTTCAGTCAGAGTACTTACCTTATTCGACATCAGAGAATTCATTCTGGCGAGAAGTGTTATAAATGTAACGAATGTGGAAAAGCTTTTGCTCATTCCTCAACTCTTATTCAGCATCAAACTACTCATACAGGAGAGAAATCCTACATATGTAATGTATGTGGGAAAGCGTTCAGCCAGAGTGCAAACCTTACTCAACATCATAGAACACATACTGGAGAGAAACCCTATAAGTGCAATGTGTGTGGGAAAGCCTTCAGCCAAAGTGTACACCTTACTCAGCATCAGAGGATTCATAATGGAGAAAAACCCTTTAAATGCAGTGTATGTGGGAAGGCATATAGACAGGGGGCAAATCTTACACAACATCAAAGAATTCATACTGGAGAGAGACCTTACGAATGTAAGGAATGCGGGAAAAACTTTAAACAGTTAAGTAATCTCATTGCTCATGGAAGAATTCATACTGGAGAGAAACCCTACAAATGTAATGAATGTGGGAAAGCTTTTATTTATTCCTCATCACTTAATCAACATCAGAGAACTCATACTGGAGAAAGACCCTATAAATGTAATGAATGTAACAAAGATTTTAGCCAGAGAACATGCCTTATTCAACATCAGAGAATTCACACAGGAGAGAAGCCTTATGCTTGCAGTATATGTGGTAAAGCCTTCACCCAGAGTACAAACCTTATTCAGCATCAAAGAGTTCATACACGTGTAAAACATCGTAACTGATCAGTATGGGAGAATTTATTTAGGTTTTAGAACTTAATAATTTAAAGTTTATTTGTGCTATCTGTGTATTAAAACATTATTCTTGTTCAATAGAAACTTTTACGTGCAATATATATCAAATATCACTCAGCAGAAATGTCCAGATTAGTAGTGTGGCTGTATCTTATATTTCTTAGGGGGGGGAAAACCTATCCATTTTTTAACCCATTTTTATATCCGTTTGATTTGTTTGAGAAAGAAAATGTGTAAGAGTATTCAAAAACCTGTAACTCCTCAACCTTTGGTGTACTTCAAGTTTTTCTTAATGAGGCCTTATAAATGTAATCTTGGATAGCTCCCATCAGCTAGATGTTATGTAAAGCATAATCCTAGGATTATAAAAAAGAAAAAGCTGCTTTCAGGCCTTTATTTCTTTCTAGCTTTGATGCCTTAAAAGATGCAAATAATTTCTTACCCTATTTATTTCCCCTTCTATTACCCATAAATGCCATGTGGAACCAGTAAGTTTTCAAATAATATTAGTAACAATAATTGAAAGTATGATAAAGATTCATTGTGACCACTGTTTATTTAGAAAGCTTTGGTAGCCTCATGGGTAAGGAGTTTCAATCCTAACAGTTTTATCCCATGTGATGGGAAAACCAGCCTCTGAAAATCTGGAACATCAGCTATGATTCAGTCTCAATTTGACAGCACATAACAACAAATATTTAGTTATGCTTTTCCCACATACTGAAATAATAAAGAAAAAAATTCAATGAAATATGATGTGTCAGAAAGAGAATATTATGTATATAGCTTTTTAAAATACATAGATGTAAACAGGCAAAAATTACCATCATATTTTAATTTAAAACTAATTAGCTTTAATCTCACTAAATTTTTACATGTAAGGTGATCTGGCCAGCAAAAATAAGCATACGAGTCCACTTACTTCCACCTAACTACCAAATTCATACCTCAGGGTTCCTCTGTAACTTTACTTGTTACACATCCATTTCTTCCACTGAAATAAATAGTCATTGAGTTCCCACTCTATTTTGAGCCATAATTCTCAAGAATCCTTTTAGGACTTGTTAAAGTGCTGAAAATCACAGCTGATTTAGTTAAAAAGTTTTCTGAAGGAATGGATGATGGCAAAAGGACATGATTTTAACTAAAGTCATGGAATGAGCTTAAGAAATCTGTTACAACGGGCTGCCAAGTGCTGCTCTTTCCCAGGATGAGTAATGAAAGCTGCATAAAGAATATATGCTTTAGTTTATAAGAATATATATTTAGTTTATAAGGGATAAGTAATGGGAAATAGATTTGAGTTCACTGCAGAAAGTACAGCAGGATAAAGTTAAACTGAAGACCTGTTTTGGAAAAACTACAGGCTTACCTTGGAGGTAATGCAGGTCCTGTTCCAGACCATTGCAATAAAGCAGACATAGAGATAAAGCAGGTAGTACCAACTTTTTGGATCCCCAGTATGTATAAAAGCTGTTTGCACATATGTTTGCATACACTCTTGTACAATAGCATATGGAAAAGTTTGAAATGTGAGAATTATCAGAATGTGACAGTTAAAAAGCACATGCTGTTATTAAAATGGCACCAATAGATTTGTTCAATGCAGGCTTGCCACAAAACCTGTAAAAAAAAATTCATTCTCTGCAAAGCATAATAAAGCCAAGTGCAGTAAGATGGGGTATGCCTCTTATATGTAACTTTTTAACCTTGAGTGACATTGGGCCTAGTTTACTTAAGAAAGTAAGTTACTAAGTTAAAGTGCAAATTTTTTATTCTTGAAAAAAAATTTAAAGTGACTGCATTTTTCTTTCGAAATAATTTTTAACCTGTCACTTCTTCATACCTATAAGTAAAATAGTTCTTAGTGATAACAGGAAAAAATATTTCCTTGACAGAGCCTTGGTAGAGAAACTCATTGACTCAACCTACACTGACTGATTAAACAATAACGATTGAGTCCACAAGTCCTAAATAAAATGAAAATGGCAGAAATGAAAGAAGAAATAAACTTTTTAAAATGCTATTGTGTTTCACATCCATAGCATTCTATCAGAATATAAGGCCATATTTGGAAAGCTGACATTTCATCTTGCTTATGTTTGTCTCTCCAGTGCCTTGCACACATACGACTGAATTAATAAATACAAAAGTAAATGAGAGTTGAGTAATACAGAATTGAGTGAAATTGTACAACTAAATTCTTCATCTTTGTGCAAATATGCAAACCAATACCAAACGTTGATGTCAAAACCCCCCGATATTATTAACAATGAGTATTCTCACAGAATACCTTTGCACAGGAACTTTTCCTGAGGTAGATGAAGAAAAGTTGATATAATTCTGGTGCCCTAAATATAAAATGTAAGCATTTGTTGACTACAGTTTCATTTGGACAGTACTGTCTATATATACATTCAGCAAAAAAAAATACTGATGGACAGACCTGGGGTACTGTTATCTAAAAGCTTTATTAGGTATTTTCATCAATAAATTGTTGTTTTCCCTTGCTCTCACATTGGTTAACCTGGTCTTCATCTTTGGTATCATCTTTTAAAAAGTTCAGATTCTCTCCAGGTGCATGATACTCAAGTTTGCTTATTCAATAATTATGTTACATAATAACAATTGTTTTAAAGATGCAGAGTTGTTTTAAATGCTTCTTCCTATCTTTGGCTTTTCTCCTTCAATGAATATGTGAATTATTAGCTCCCTTTATAGGTTTCCTTGTATTTCCTGCCTGTATGTATATAATGTAAATAATGCATTTATGAAGTCTTCCACTGATATACTGAGGCAATTGGTGCCCTTATTAAATAGAAGAATAGCAATAACAGTGAACAATCAAAGATTTTTGTGTATTCTCATTTTTACAGTTTTCTGACCCATGTGTAACTCAATAGGGGTTTTTTAAATATTTAAACCTTTTCCACACTATTTAAAAATTATTCTAATAAATAAGAGAAGTTAATAAAAAAATTAATTGTATACTCACGCCTAGATTTAAAAATTAATATACTGCCTGATTTACTGAAAAATTTTAAAATCGTTGACATTTCACCCTTAAATTACTTAAGCATACATCTCATAAAAAATAAGGACAATCTTTTATCTCACCTTAAGGCCATAGCTATCTTGAATAATGAATAAGTAATTCCCATATAAAACCTAGCTCATGCTTAAGTGACCTCTGTTAAGCCAGTTAAGTTACACATTACATTGCTTGGTAGATCTGCCTCATCTATCTAGAACAGCCCACCATCTTTTGTTTTTAAGTAATCACGTCACTTGCAAAATGCCCTACATTCCAAATATGACTGATTGTTTATATGTGATTTATTTTGTTATTTGATCCCTATAATCCAGTGCCATCAAGTTGTCTTCAATTCTTGGTGACTTTCTGTACAACAGACCCAAACACTGCTGTAACCCGTGTCTTCCTTAATCCCCTAGAGTGTCTAAACTACAAATTTGATCTAAAGGTCTTATTGGATACTGGTTAAACATTTGTTTTCTAAACTTTTTTAAAAATTGGTTTCCATTCACTCAATATACATTTTATTTTATAATAATTACAGTTGATCAGTTCTCTTTATTACACTTCATCAGATCCTTGCTGTACCCTCCCCTTCCCTTCACCCTACTCATTCATCCACTAATCTCTGCTCCTCCTTCTCCTCCCATCCACAGCAACCCTCCGTGATTATTTCTACATGTAAAACCTTTCTTATTGTTTGGACCATCAAGCTGGAACCAGCTCATAGCTGACGTTCCAGTGAGTTTTTAGAGGCAGTAAATCACACAAGAGATTGCCCATCCTCCCACAGAGAAAGAAGTTGGTGGATTTTAACTGCATCCTTTGGGATGCCCCCTCCTCCCCCAGTCATCATTCATACTCTGTTCCACATTGTTAATTGCAATATAAACAGTGTCTAACAATTTTAAACTCAATGTTTTTAACACTTTGTCAAGCTCACTTTTGAGTCTGTTCGAACTCAGTGACCCTCTGTTGGGTGTCTAAGGCTGGAAATCATCTTTCTCCTGTGGAGCCCCTGATAGACTCAAGCTTCCAGAGACATGAGCCTTTGGAATGTCAATGCAGACCAATACAGACTGCCACCACAGATCCTAAAACTTCCTAGGTCTTCTTAATTGTGGTGTTACTGAAGAATGTTGAGTATGCCATTGTTTGCCAAAACAAAGAGGAAATGTAGCCACTGTAATTCTTCCTTAGGAGGTAGGGATGATCAGACTTGTCTCAAAAGTTCGGCACATTTTTCAGAAGGGACCAGTCAGTCCCTGGGAAAAGACGTGTGTAAGAAAGTAGAATGTGATCAAAGGAGAAGATGCTCAACAAGATGGTTTGACATTGTGACTGCAACAGTGGGCTGTAAGGAGGGCCCAGGATCGAGCAAGAGTTTCATTCTATTGTATGAAGGGTCACTATAGGTCAGGGTCAGCTTGATGGCACCTATCAATAACATATATTGAATCACGTATGTCATAATATCAGGGAGCTCTAGCACAGGAGGGGAAGACCCTCTATGAGGTGGATTGATTCAGTGACTGGGGTAATTGGGATGGGTGTGTCAGAGGCAGTGCGATTGGCACAGGATAGAGCAGAGTTTAGGGCTGTTGTACATAGGGTTGCCATGAGTCGCAAGCGACTCGACGGCACATAACAACAACAACTAGTGCTGCCACCCTAAGACATGCAGCTTGAATCCACCAGCTTCTGTGGGAGAGAGGTGGACAATCTCCCATGCAATTTAAAGCCTCTGAAAATCTGCTGGAATTTCATTCATGAGTTGTTTCTAACATTGAGAAACAACATTTCTCAGTATCAGGTTGACTCACTACCAAAGATAAGAAATGTTATTGCTTGGTTAAGGTGATCTTTCCAATTAAAACTGTGGGGTCCCCCCGTTGTGGTTAACAATCTCTGAACTGACACTTTGGAAATAAATTAATATCCTGTTTACTCATTT